TTTGCTCCTACACTTAGGTCTCTTACCTTGATGTACATTGTGTTACCACCAAGCTAGATAACTGGCTTAATGAAAATGTCTTTCTCCAAGGGCTTCTGATTCCTGAGTACCAACTCATTCCCAGAGCAACATTAATTACCAAGCACACCGATTCCATCATAAGCAAAGCACAACATTTCCTTCTGCTAGAGAGAGAAGACAGACTATTCTCTTACCTTCGAGAGGTTTAACAATTTGTAATTTTTCTGGCAGGAGCAGACGCAGGCAGGGAGAGCTCCCAGAGAAGTCAGTGAATCCTGAGCTTGTACCCCCACACAGACAACTCTTTACTGATGTGCAACAGCCATCAGCCTCTTCTTTTCCGTCAGCCACCAAATGCTCTTTACGCTCCCATTCCTTCTCAAAGAACTGCTTTTCACTCTGGTAGTTCTGCTGACGGAGGCGAAGTGCGTGCAGAGCTGTAGCTAAATCTTTGTCTCCAGGGGTTCCAGGTTGACCCAGCTTTTGGTTGTCCCTTCAGGGAACATGAAATCAGAATAGGGAATTAAGACTAAATCTGCTAAAGTAAAGAGGAACTTGGGTTGGATGTAGTTTTGGGCTGAAGAAAAAAGATGCTTTAAAAAGATTTATATTTAATTGGTGTAGTCAGTATCACAGTATTTTGCAAGGTCTCAGACTAAATCTGCAGACACATTTGTGTGGTGGCAGATCTCACAGTTTCGTTATTTAGGAACAAAGACAACCAGCGTACAAGATAACCTGTTGGCTTGCTTTTTTTCTCTGCAGTCATGAATTAGCTACATTAGAATCTTTATAGTTCTTTGTATTGTTTGCTTGTTCACATGCATACTCTTCTGCCTTATAAACACCATTTGACTAAATCTGCAGACACATTTGTGTGGTGGCAGATCTCACAGTTTCGTTATTTAGGAACAAAGACAACCAGCGTACAAGATAACCTGTTGGCTTGCTTTTTTTCTCTGCAGTCATGAATTAGCTACATTAGAATCTTTATAGTTCTTTGTATTGTTTGCTTGTTCACATGCATACTCTTCTGCCTTATAAACACCATTTAATAACATAGGACTTGCCAACCCAATAGGTGTGAATATCATTAACAGGTTTAATATTACATGTCAGGGTCACAATATCCCATGGGATGAGATCAGGAAGTTGCTACAGTTAGCAGTTAAGAGAATAAGGGAAGTAGTGTCAATCACACCACAGAGGTGCCTGACTCGCCATGGCAACTATCTCCTCTAGTTTTGGTGAGAGCAACAGGATGATAGTTTGGCACTGAAAACTGATAATTCCTATGCATGCATACAGGCAATCTAAACCCACACTAATACACAGTCTCCTACTTTGAGATTTCCTTGGAACTGCTCCTTTGCTGTGCCTTGCCCTCCACTTGTTGTAGGCCAGACTGAAAGGGCTTTGAGGTCATCACAACACTTGAACGATTAGATCCAGGGATTGGTAGTAGGGCGGGAAATGAAGACGACCGACCACGCATAACATTAGCAACCCTGACAGTATCGAACGCCCGTTTCTGCTGCACCCTGGAAAAGAGAGAGAAAAAACAAACACACACACAATTCCCTTTTCATCCTTATAGGAAGGAACTGATCAATGTCTAATAATGTTTTGAGAGTGTTTTGGTAGGACACAAAAAAAAGAATAGTTTCAGGCAATAACAAGATTTTTACTGAGCTATACACGTCCAGTAAATAGTAAGGAAGCAGAGCCCAAAAAGAGTGGCTGTTGTCTGAGTGATGAAACTGCTCTCTCCTGGTGGGAAAAAGACACCTTGTAAGGGCTTGAAAGAACAAGAAGTGGTAGCATTAATATGATGCAGGAACTTTCAAGGTCAACAAAATGTTTTAGGTTCAGCCCTTATTCCTGAGTAAGGGCTCCAGAAAAAGGCCTTCAAGATACTGGGAAGTGATATTATCTCTCTTTAGTTCTAGTTTCCCCTATAGATAATTTCCAGAGATTTTAATAGGGATGAAACCAATGTGATAATGCAGAAACTAGTTTAAAACTTACAGAGCTTGGGAATAATATCCTTTCAGTAGATTTTTTTTAACCATCCTGGAGACCTCAATTAGGAGAGGTATGCAAATTGTGCTAAATACTGTACTAAATTCCATAAAATTGTTGAAAATAACCTCAACACTAGAAAGGTGATTTGCTATTGAATGATATGGAAACTCTGCATAAGGCACAGAATATCTAGATTCACCCACTCCCAGCAATTACTGGAATCTCATTGACATTAGTCTTAGCCCTTGCATTGGCAGGTCTAGCAAAATGTCAAAAGAGAATGTGTGTAGGAAGGTAAAAGCCAACTTACTTTTGTTTACCAAGAGCAGATTCTTCATCCAGAGTCAGCTCCTTCCGCATTATCCCTTCAATCTCTGCCGCAAGGGAATCCTGTAAAGAACAAACAAATCAAAACAGATCGTCAAATGCTTTCCTCCACAAGTTTGGCAACACATACCAAGTAAAAAAATTACACATGCTAATTACTATACTAACTAGGGATAATAGTATAGTTGATTAACCGATCGGTTAATGCTATAGACTACATGCACCTCCCCGCCCCCCTACCAGTAAATTTTTTAGCAGGCTGGCCAGCAGCCCAGCTCAATCCTGGCTTGCAACGGGCCTGGGATCTACCCCTGCTGTGTCTCTGCATTCAAAGCATATTAGGATCCAGGCAGGCAGCCCAGATCAGTCCCAGGCCCCCCTCCTCATCTGGGACAGGGGCTGCTGCAACCCTGCACTTTTTAAAATGGGCTCCCCTCGCAGCTCTACCTTCTGAAACTCAGCAGCGTGGAGTGACAAGGGGTTCCTCAGGAGTGGGGCCAGAGAACACTGGCTGCCCACCCCACCCCACCTCCAAGGGACTACAGAATAATCGAGTAACCTCATGAATTTTTATCGGTTAATTCATTAATTCATGATTATTCAATTAACCGATATTTAACATCTCTAATGCTAACAGAAGTTTCTAATGTAGACCTGGCCAAAGAAAGTTCCCCCAAAACATTAATCTAAAAGAAACCAAGATTTGCCACAGATCTCAATTTTGCCACAGATCATTTACAATCATGTCAATGCTATGCATTTTTATGGATGCTCAGCACCGATTTCACAACAAGGAGATGGCAGAGTAGTATTTCACGAACATAGGGCATTATAAAATGTTCATTACTTTCAGGAACAGTTTTTTTTTTTTTTAAAACAAAAAAAGAGAAGCTGTCAAACTACTAAGGCCTCACCGCTTGGGGAAATACACTAGCTGAATTGGGGGCACATTTTCTTCAATTTCCTACAAAAGAACTACTGAAACCTGCCATGTCATGTGTGCAGCAGGACAGCCATTTCAATCCATAGCATACTTGTTTGGGACTTCCCCCGATATAACATGCTAGCAGTCTAATCTCTAAACAATTTAGGTGTAGAGAGACTAGGTTCATAAAATACTGGTTAAAAACCAATCTTGTAAATCATTTGGATTTCATAGTGGTCAACATTATATACAACTGGGATCAACTTCTAAAAAAGAAAGGCTGTGACATGTTTGGTGGTGATACAAGGTAAAGAGAAGGGAAGTGTGGAACACAATGCGGAGTTCATTTTTAAGTTACTTTATAGTGAATGAATGGCCCAAATGTGGAACGGTTAAAAGATAACTTCAGATCTTAGGATCAGAAATAGGAAAGATTAGATCATTCACTCCAACCCTCTGACAACTGCAGGATTGTTTTCTTGGGCATTCTCCTCATTAGAACAAGCAACTGTGGTTTTGTCCTTGTAATTCCACGTTACTAAAGACTGGTGGTAGTATTACAGCTCTACAACATAGTAGTGTGGATACACCATGCTAGAGAAAGCCCAAGATTCATTACCAAAGGAAACGCCCCACATGACTGGGGGCGGCAGAGATGTACAGCAGGACTGGTTCTGCTGCGCAGCTCCTTCACTTCTTCTTGTAATTCATGCAACAACCCCAGACACTCTGCATTCCAATCCTGTAATTCATGCAGCTGCAACAGAAAACAGAGGTCATTAATGTAACCACCAATCCACAACCTGCAATGATCAAATGAATGTACCCTGGAATAAATCTATACAGGTGAATAGTACTGCAATACCAAGTGCAGAACAAAGAGCATTTCCTTAAAAATTAGCCAGCTGCAACCCAAACTGTACACATTCACTTGATATAGTCTTCATAAATGCCTGAAGCAGTAAGACCTCTCTCTATGGACAACTCATCTGCTTTTAGACTCACATGGATTGTAAACACAATCGGGATGAGTTATTAGAAGTGTTCTGTTCTTTTCTTTGACTCTGTACCCCCCTGGCATTTAAAGAAAACCAAAAGCTTGTTCTCTTTTCCCTCTAAGCTTGCACTTCTTTTTCTCACTATTTCAAATTATAAACAGAAGCCCCCCAATACCTCTCCTGTCAGCTGTCTCTGGGCATCTTTGGAAGCTTGTAGGTGAAGTTTCAGCTCCTCCTTTTCAATCACATGCTGTAGGTACAAAAAGCAAAGCAAAATAGGGTGTTCAGATTATTTCCTCCACACAAAAAGTTGCTCTTCTCCAGTATATTCTCTGAAATGACCATGTTCCTAGAACAACAACCTGCCCTTCAGCTTCACCTACTGTATGCACACACCTCTTTGAGTTTATGCTGAAGATCAACAATCTGAGATAAGAGGGTTGAAATCTCTTCTTGATAGCGAATCAGCTCTTCACTTTTTTCAGATGACTCTTCTGTCATTCGGGCAATTTGAGCATGTGTTTCCCCTAAAAAGAGAGTAAAACATAGACTTAGTATACAGCTTTCCCTGACACACACCCTTGGCTAACATAACACTGTAGTCTTCAAAGGGACAGCAAAAATCCTAAGGAATCAATTCAGTGCGTGCACAGTGGATCTTTTATTGTTAATATGATGAAAAGTATATAGACACTCTGAACTAGGGATGTAAATAGTTACCCAGATAACAAAAAGGTTTGTTCCCTACAGGATTCCCTTGTGGCAGAGATTGAGGGACAATGCGGAAGATGCTGATTCACCAGAAAGGGCTGGAGCAGCTCTTCAACTGCCTCAGGAAGGGGGCTGCTCCAGCCCTGTGGGGCCCACTGGAGCAGCCTCTGTCCATGGCAGGACACCTCACAGAGTTTATATTGCAATAAATCTGTCTCCATTATGATCTTACGGTGGGGCAACTCATGGATGTCAGTTATACCAAGGAAAAACACATCCTTCTTTGGCTCTGAAGACATAATTCATAATTTCTACCAACCCCTTCATTAAAGGGCATAAGCTCACACCTCAAATGGGCCTTTAAAAGCTGGAATGAGAAACTCAACCCTGATCAGCCCAAGAGAGCTTGAAATAAAACATGGGGATGATTTTTAATAGCTAAAAACTAAAAAGGAGGCAGAAGGTGAGATCCATTTTAAGTTTCTGAAATGCCATGAGCAGCTTTGGATGCTATAAAGTTAAACAAGAATTACATCCCTCTTATTGGTGGTACAGTGAAGTGCTGTGTAGGACAGTATCTAGCAACCTCCACCATTGAGATTACACAGCTTCTACAAGGATAAAATAAAGCAGGTAGACAATCAAACGGGCATCGATCCAGAATACTTTCTTGTTCTTCAAAATAAAAGCATGCAACAGTGCAGTGTTCATCACGTGGATTATTGGAAAGAATCTCATAAGATAAGCCTAGATTTCTAGTGAATATGGGAGGAGGCATCGATCAAGTGAATACAGGTTTAAAGTTTAAACTTCCAGATTACATAATTACCAAAGAAAGTTCATGTCACTCCCAACTGCAACAGAGAATGTTTACTTACATTTGTACAAGGGTAGTGAAGGATACATATCTGTAAGTAACTGCAAAAGCAAAGCATCCTTGCAGAGATTTTACTGTGAATGCACTACAATTGATTTTAATACTTTATTATGCATTTATAACAGGGAGCGTTTCATGTGCGTTCATGGAGCTATGAAAATTTAGAATGGGTATCCAGGAGGTTAGATAATGATCAGTTTAATATTCCCAAGAATAGCTGTCACATCTACTATTCAGAATCACTATATGTCCTGTAGATTGCTATCTGGGGAGACTGAAATCAGTGTGGAAGTTCACAGGAGCACTGAGCTTAGCTCTGTTTTTAAGAGCTCAGGTCTGCAAGAGGCTTTCCATTTTCGGTAAACATCTATTTTCATCTTTTGCACAACCATGCTTTGGTCTCCAAACCAAAGTTCAGTGCCACAGTGAGGCAGAAAGAAATAAGTACTTGGAAACAGACTCATTCTGAAGTGGTCAAGTAGTAACAAGCAAAACACTGTTTGCATAAATTTATTAAACTCATATCCGAACCTGGGGATAGCCAAAATATTACAAATGCCAAGTGATCAAACAGCCTTTTCCTGTTTTTACTAGGACATACAATCTTGATACTCACGGAGCTCTTTGACACAGTCGCTGACAAGCTCCTGCTCTTTTGCTTCATATGTAATGGTTTCTGTCTTTAGATGAGCAGCCTTCAAAAAAATTAGAGAGACAACATCAAATGAAAAATTAAACTTCCAACTGAAAATGTTTTACTTGCAGTAATTACTAATATGTGAGACTGTCAATGAAAGATTAGAAAAAACAATCCCCCTTATTTTTTCCCCCAATGTGATTACTTCGTGCAGTTGACTGTACTTTCTGCTAGGTTTTTTTTCCACTACAGCTAACTTCCCTTATGTTAGAAATAGGAAAGAGGGCAGCAACCTAAACAAAAAGCCACAGAAAATGTACTGATAACTCAAAATTTGGTAGAGAAACTCAACAGCAGATGCCATACCTGGAACTAGACAACTTGAATTTACTGCAAATATGTCTCCTCAAAATAGAGGAATCCTGTAGTCTGGAAACTGAATGATACATTAGTCACATCTACAAAGGCCACAAAGGCACTGAAACACACTCAGAATAGGAATACAACTTTCCTTTCTCCCCTCCTTCCATTTGTTTAGAATCATAAGTTCTCCAGACCAGAGATTGTCTTGCTCTGCAAGTATGTGCAACAACAAGCATACAGAGATCTCCATTTTGGTTGCAGCATCTGGATACTACCAGGAAAAAAAAAAAACAAAAAAAACCAAAAAAACCCCAAAACTATCAATAATAATGGCTTCTCTCCATCAGAGAATTTTCCTTTGGGACAGTTTGCTGATTAGTGCTGGCTTATCGGAAACCTCAGTGCCTGAGATTGGAAATCTATTTCAAAGAAAGGAACTGCAAATAAAATCAGTTCCACATAACATTATCACAATGAACTATAAATAGATCTTGGCATTTCTCATTAAATCAGGCCAACCAATAAGCAGCTTAGTATGCCTGAGGTTATTTAAAGAAGACAAAGATGAAATTATATAACACAGTAATAAAACTATGGAAAAGACTTAGTTAAAAGGGACCAGGCAAAATGGCAGGGCAAAAATTTAACCATATTTTTATTTTAGGCTTGGTTAGTTGCACAACTAATTATTATAGCTGCCTGACACTTTCCCCACTACCAGAGCCTTTCCCATTCCTTGTAACTGTCAAATTATAAGTGTTTGAGCTGAAAATTTCAATGCTGGGTGTCTCTCTCAAACTGATTATTTATGGTTTGCTAAAGTGGAATAGGGCTTGGAAACATACCAAAATCCTGCTCTTAAAGAGGAGAAATGTGGAAGATTCCAACACAACGTTGGTTCACAGCAGTGGCAAAAACACAGAAGGATGGGGGAGGTGGAAAGGCAGCAGGGTGAAAGATGACAGAATTACTAGCAAGCCTGCGAGCTGAACATGGCTTCCAGACACCTGAAAAGCCAAACCAGCTGACCCATCAGAAGCAAGCTCCCCACAAATCAATCTGGAAGATCCTATGCTGGTTTATACTGGTGGGCACACTGTCTGGGCTGCTGCCACACACTGAGGTGCACACCTCAGGAGTGTTAGGCTCCACACAACACTTATCCCATAGCGAGCAGAATGACAATCAGAAAGAATGGCCCAGCAGTAATGGATGAAAACAAACCACTCTCATACAAACAACAACAAAGTCTCTTCTGTGTCATTCAACTGCTAGTCAAGCAAAGCAGTTTGGGAAAAGGAGGTGGCAAGAGACAGGGGATAGGTTGCTAAAGGAAAGGAGAAGACCAACATTTTAGTTCCAAAATACCTGCAACTCCAGCCCCGTACTGACACAGCCTTATTAAAAGGATTTAATATTTTAAATGGAGGAGTTGGGGCAACTTGGAATTTTAAAAATCAAAGACATGATGCTGGTTTGAATCCTGTAAATGTCCACTGTCTACCTAAGCTATATAAAGAATCTTGGGGTTGCCATCTGCCAAAGCCCAGATGTCTGACAGGGTATGTCTACACTACAATGTTAGTTCGAACTAACAGACGTTAGTTCGATCTAACATTCATAGGCGCTACACTAGCGCTCCGCTAGTTCGAATTTAAATCGAACTAGCGGAGCACTGAGTTCGAACTAAGGGGTGTGTAGCCCCTTAATTCGAACTAGTGGGAGGCTAGCCCTCCCCAGCTTGCCCTGGTGGCCACTCTAGCCAACACCAGGGAAACTCTATGCCCCCCTCCCGGCCCCGGACCTCTTAAAGGGGCACGGGCTGGCTACGGTGCCCGTGCCAGGTGCAAGCCTGCCAGCACCCAGCCAGCAGACCCTGCACCTGACACAGCACAGAGCCACCCACCCGATGTCCCCCAGCCCACCCCCTCTTCCCGGGACCAGGCTGGCGGCTCCCGGGAGCTTGCC